TCATTACGCCCACCAATGGCAATGCAACAGTCCCTGGAGCTGGCGACATGAGCGGAAGCCCCAAGGGCACTTTCGCAAACGGACACCTTAATGGCGTGCTTGCAGCTCACAAGAAACAACAAGACACACCCAAGGGCATCAAGGGCGTGCCCACGCGTGCTCGGCTGGCACTGCAACGCTCGGCGACTTCCGTATCTGTCTCAACGACACGCGCTGGCAACCGCATCTTCAACAGCTTGCCCAAGTGGCTCCAAGGACCCCTGTCTAAAATTGGTTCAGGCTTGTCCAGGTTCGCCAAGGGTGTTTGGGACTTTATGAACCCTCCGCTCTGGGCCATGTTGATTGCCATCTTCGTCGCCTCTATTCCACCGCTACAACGCTTGTTCTTCACTCCTGGAACATTCATCAACACGTCAGTTACGCGCGCTGTAAATCAAAGCGGACAAGTGGCCGTGCCCCTGATTCTGGTTGTCCTGGGCGCCAATCTTGCTCGCAACACGCTACCAAAGGAGGACCAAAACTCAATCGAGGACCCCAGCGTAGAGAGGAAGTTGGTCATTGCCTCGCTTATCAGTCGCATGCTCATCCCAACGCTTCTCATGGCACCAATGCTGGCTCTGACTGCCAAGTACGTGCCCGTCAGCATCCTCGACGACCCGATTTTCATTATTGTCTGCTTCCTTCTCAGCGGCGCACCCAGCGCGCTTCAACTGGCGCAGATCTGCCAGATCAACAATGTGTACATGGGCGCCATGTCGCGGATCCTGTTTCAGAGCTACGTGGTATGGATTCTACCATCGACTCTACTATTGGTCATGCTTGCATTGGAAACAGTCGAATGGGCAACATGAACGAGTAGAGCGGGACACCAAACAGGCGCCAGGTTGCGCATGTGGCACTAGCAAGGAAATTGTATACTTGAGTGCATGGCGAAAACAGGGATATTGTGTTTGTTACAGCGCGGCGTTTTGGTGTTTGGCGTTTTACTACGCGTTGTGACGTAAGTAGGTAGGCCTTGGATAGGCCTCTGCAGGGCTCAGTCGCCACGTCCAGAAGCAGCTTGCATGTGGATTGTAAAGCTGCACTTGCACTGTACGAGTATTTTATTAGTTAGATTTGTTGCTCATTACCACAATAGAAGATGCAACGACGGCTTGGCCACATGTGCACTACGTACTGAATTTCGTCATATACCACATTGCAGGTTTTCTGTCCACTGGTGTTTTGCTTGCTTATCTCGTTGTGGTTTGGCCGTTTATACACTGCCAAGCCCACCACCACACATGGAACCTCGTCAAGACAGCGCACAGTAAGAGGAGCGCCGGGATATACCTTGGGCTTTCCATGGCCATAACGTCCCGAGTCACAATGGGCTCGACGCGTGTTTTGGTGGTTTCTCTGCATCCCCGTCTCTGTCTATGCCATGACGCTCCTGTTTTCCCAGCTGATCCTGACCGCCAATCAGCTTGGCACGTGGACCCCTTACTCGCGTATCCTGTCCTGCCTGCCCTGGTCTGGGTATCGATAACACTCACACACAACGCCCGCCCACCAAGCGGCCCAATCCTCCTACCACCATTTGGGAGCGGCTGTTGTCACAGACTCTCACGCCTCGGGAACAGGGTTCCCAACACTTTTGCTATCTCTCTCGCCGATCCGGCTTACTTGCCCAGCCGGACTGCTCCAAACTCCCCTCGGCCGTTAGCAGACCATGGCCACTTCTTCCAATTGGCAGGCCCAGCAGCCCGCTGGCCCACAGTCAAGCGACTCTCTAGCCCTCTCGCGCAACAACACTTTGGACGACGGTGCATCACCGCGCTCAAGCAAAGGTTAGTCAATCATTCCCTTGTTTCCTGGTTGCACGCAAACTCTATCACTTTGTTACATTACATGTATGGCGGGGTATGGGGCTTAGGTGGTGCTTGGTTCATGTGCAACAATCTTTCCGCGGTCTTGAAGGCGCCTAGGCTTTAGGCTTTCCGTAACACACGTGTGGCTGTATTCTAGCTCGTCAGGTAGCCTACTTGAAATCCACGACGCCTGGGAACAGAGACTGTACTTCCTTTGTACAGATCTGCGCTTTAGAAGCGATTCAGATGCAGCGCAGTTGCTTACTATACATCTGCAGCCGTATCCTTTCCCGATGACAGCACAATTTCCCCATTGATCATCGGCAAGAACAAGGAGCTCGACCAAAAAGACTACTTAGATCTTGACAAGCCTCCCAGGCACTTTCCAGCAAGTGTCAGTAAAAAGCGCCTGTCCGGCCGTCCTTCCTATGAACGCGAGGGGTCATCCAAATCTGGAGCGGCCGACGCCAGCACTGCCTTGACCTCGCTACTTCCAGAAGGCTCAATTGATGCGTCCTCTCATAGCCACCAAGCCCACGAGAACCTGTTGAAACAGGTCGGCACCTGGCTCAAGCAGGAGCGAAGCCGGCGCCATGCACGAAGGGCAAGACGCAAAGCTGCCAGAGCTAGTACCGTTGACCACGAGTCCGAGAGCGCTGCAGCAGAGGCACTCGAGAAGTCCATCTCTCACCACAGGAGCGATTCTGACTCCTCCCATGGCGAGGATGCACTCACTCAACTGGCACAAATTCTCGAAAAGAACATGACCTTGAAGCTTTCCGAAGCGAAAAAGAGGCATCACTTGCACAGGTCGTCCATTGGCTTAAAGCGACACTCTGCAATTTCTCTTGATTCGGACTACTTTGAGTCGGTAGATCAGCTTGTCCCTAGTTGTGAAGCCACTTTGGACAATTCAAAGACCATGGCATACAACGTCGATGAGCCTGGGGCCGAGTCCAACCTCGATGTAGCAGACAAGGAAAAAGAGGCTTGGTCCAAATTTCGAGCTGAAATCCTTCGTCTTACTCACACGTTGAAATTGAAGGGATGGAGGAAGGTGCCCAGTGAGCTGAGCAACGAAATCAGTGTACAAAGACTGAGCGGTGCACTTACAAACGCCGTTTACGTCGTCTCTCCTCCCAAGAATCTACCAGTTCCCGAACAGAGCGAAGATGGTCCACCAAAGCCCAGGAACCCTCCACCGTAAGTGTTAGTACAGTTCACTTAGCATTTATCTAACCTTTCTTTTTAGGAAGCTCCTACTTCGTATCTATGGTCCACAGGTAGAACATCTGATCGACCGAGAGTCGGAATTACAGATCTTGACGCGACTTGCCCGCAAACGTATTGGCCCACGCCTGCTCGGTACTTTTGGCAATGGCCGATTTGAAGAGTTTCTGCATGCCCAACCACTTACTTCCAAGGAGCTACGCAACCCGGAAACCTCAGTACAGATCGCAAAGCGTATGCGAGAACTTCACGAAGGTATTGATTTGCTGAAGAAAGAGCGAGAGGCTGGCCCGTTTGTTTGGCAAAATTGGGACAAGTGGGTCAATCGCTGCGAACACATTGTGACCTGGTTGGATCAACAGGTCCGCGAGAGTAGCCAGGGCCTCTCCAGAGCCTCTTCGGACAAATGGAAGAAGCGAGGATATGTGTGCGGCGTCGAGTGGCCCGTGTTCAAGCAAATGATTTACAAGTACCGAAAGTGGCTAGAGGATCAGTATGGCGGTCTTGATAAGATCAACGAGCGCATGGTCTTTGCCCATAATGATGTAAGTCGTAATGCGAAGTGAAAATGGTATGATCTAATTCGATCACAGACCCAGTATGGAAATATCCTTCGCATGATGCCAGAAGGCGAGTCACCACTGATGCTACCGGCAAACCAGCACAAGCAGCTAGTAGTTATTGATTTCGAATACGCAAATGCCAATCTTCCTGGGTTGGAATTTGCCAATCACTTCGTAAGCTTCATCTGTTTCGTCAACTCTTAATCAGTGCCCGCTGGGCATCGCTATGATGCAAGGACATGCTGACACGTTCCAGACGGAATGGGCGTACAACTACCACGATGCAGAAGCTCCCTGGCGTTGCAACACTAAGTATTATCCAACAATCGAAGAGCAGCACCGTTTTATCCGGGCGTACTTGATGCACAACCCCTCGTACAAGGCCAGTGGCGGATACACGTCCAATCCCGCTACACCACACCTTGGACCGCTTCCCTCTTCGGGTAGCACAACTGCCCTGGCAGCAACAGCCGCCCCAAGCAGCATCTCCGCCTTTATGCTCGACTCGCGAGCTCCTCCAGGCGAAAAGTATCAAGAGCAGGAAGCCCAGTACGAGCGACAGATTGAAGAGGAAGCGCGCCGCCTCCTGGCAGAAACCAAACTCTGGCGTCTCGCCAACTCCGCCATGTGGGTTGCCTGGGGCATAGTCCAAGCACACATCCCGGGCCTCCCTGACTTCGACGAGGAGAGCGAAGACAACAAGACAAGCGCCAACCCAAGCGCAGAAGCAGCAACGCTAGACAGCGCAACTGCCGAGCTGGAAGCCGCAGCTAAAGCAGAGCAAAAGAGCACGGGGACAGTGAGTGAAGAAACGGCGGCAAAGATACAGGCGCAGGCGCAGATGGAAAATGATGCTGACCTTTTCAAGCCGCAGGACGAGGAGGAATTCGATTACTTGCAGTATGCTAATGACCGGGCGATGTTTGTCTGGGGGGATGCGCTTAGGATGGGGATTGTGAGTCAAAGCGAGTTGCCCGAGGAGTTTCTGCAAAGGATTAAGCTTGTGGAGTATTGAGATGGGCCGGTGGGCATAACGGTGGGAGGCTGGATGTGGACGTCTCGTGATGATATGAATGGGAAATGATGTGATGAGTCGAGAAATCACGCGAAACATATCATGTATGCAGTAGAATACGAAAAAAAACCCCTCTCCCAAGACAATCCCAGTATACCAAAACTTAATCGCCAATCCACACATAGTCAAGAATCATCGAATCTTTCTTTCTTTCTCTAGAAAACGAATAAGTCATATAAATCTGTTTTCATACACATACGCCCGCCTTTGATCCCTCCCTCCCTTCCCAAAAACGCCTACAGCAAGAAAACGAAATCATTACCTCCCCCCCCCTAACTTAACTCAACTCAAATCCATCTTATCCCCCTCCTCTTCCTTCCCCTTCCCTGGAAACAACCCCTCCAACCCCCTAACTTCCTCGCCCCTAACCCTCGTCCCACCAACCTCCCACGCCCCTTCCACCCCATCCTTCGTATCCACTCCCCTCCGCTCCAGCACCCGCTTAGCTTGAGATTCGACGTAGAGTCGACGCTGGGCGCTGCGGTCTTGTGATGCGTCTTGTGCTACTGCTGCGGAGGAGGGCGAGGTGGTAGATGCGAGATGGGGTTTCAGCGATGCAACGAGTTGGCGCAGGTAGGGGAGTTGTGTTGTTGTGAATGTGGTATGTGTGGTTAGTGGCGGGGAAGTGGTTGCGGCTTTATCGCTTGTTGGGGGTGTAGTTTGGATGCCTAGGGCTTGTGCTGCGGGGGTGGAGGAGAGGAAAGCAAAAGGTGCGGTGTTGTCGGTGTTGTTGCTTGGTGTTTCTGTGACTGTCGTTGAGCTGCGTGTTTCGCGCTTGGGGGCTGTGGGAGAAGGGGGGTGAAGGAGGGATTTTAGGCGTGCGATTTGCGCTTCGTTGCGGGTTTTTTCGGCGACGAGGGCGGCGTGCAGTGTGCGTGTTTCGAGGAGTTTGCGGCGGAGGGTGTAGAGGGATTCGGGGGTTAGGGTGCTGTCTTTGGAGGGGGGTTGGAGGTTCTGAGGTATGTTAGATTTCCTGACTTTGTCTGTCGGCTCTTCTGGGTGGTGTGGAAAGAGGGAATGCATACTTCGTAATGTCCTAATCTCACCCAATCTCCTAGTCCTTCATCTTCGCCTTTTCCTCTTCCAAGCGCAAACACGTTTCTCAGTGTCCAAATTTCCAACTTGTCAAAGTTCTTGTCTACGGCATTTTCCATGAGTGTCTCGAGTTTCAGGACTCCTTCTTCAATCTCCAGTCGCGCCTCGGGATACACATTGTTGCCGTCTTCATCTTTCTGCGGTGTGCGACCTTGTGAGGCGTAGAGGTCTGCGAAGCCGAGTAGGGCTGGGTCCGCGGATGAGAGGCCGGTTTCGAAGGAGTCGGTACAGCGGTAGAGGACTTCGTTAACGGCGTTGATGATGTCGTCGATTAGGGACTGGAAGATGTACACTGTTAGATCAATGTCTCGTACAGTGCGCCATATGCGACCGTATTTTTTTATTGAGTATTCATGACTTGAGGAATTGGGAAACATGTATCCCCGCCAAACACTTGCTCAAATCCCCACTATCACTACCTTTCACTGCGGGATCACACATACAATCGGGGGCCAAGTAAAGTGCTCGGTAAGGAGCATATTCTCCTGCTGCTTTGCGCTCGCCATCTTGTCCCTTGTCCCTGTCGCTGTTCGCGTTGCTGCTGCTGTTGTCGCAAATGCTCACCGGGATGTTTTGCGACACGCGCCGAGAGGGGACGTGTGTTTACCCCAACGGGCGTCTGACGATGGACCAGGGTCACACACGCGCTAGGCGGGCCTCGCTAAGGCCGCTTCGTTTGGAACCCTTGCATGCGGAAGACTGCGAGCCGACAGGTGAGACATGAGGCGAAATGATGATTTCTGAGGCAGCGGTTGTTATTCCCGAATACTACTATATTCTTTGATCATCTATCTTGAGCAAACGGAAACAAGATATGTGATGTTTGCTGACAAGTGAAGAATGCATATTTGCAGTTGATTGCATACCGCCTATTCAACTATCATGGTACACAATACAATGCCTCTAGCACCACCACTTCCAATCCTATATAATACAACGCAACCACATGTATGGCACCAAGTATCATCTAGTGCATACAACATGGCGCTCTCCCCGCGATGATAATGATGATGATGACGACGAACCGTGGCTCTCGAGCCACCGCTCAAGTACAAGCTTTCCCTGCCACCCTCCCGAAGCTGCACGTGCAGACATTGTGGTATACAGATTTGTTCTTATGCTAAGCGCGCAAGACAAAACAATACTTTTCCGTGGGCGCGCGGAAACCAAACAAAAAGGAAAGATGGGAGAATAATTGGTAATCCAAGATAACAAAAGAACACACATAACGCCAATAAGTCCGGTATGAGACCTAGAGTAAACCTTTCTCTCCATGCGTCATGTCGCTGTCGTAAATGCGGTAGATGTGAAGCAAAAGACAAAACCACCGCCATTATTGCATCCTTCACCAACACAGCGGAACTCGATATCTATACAAAGACGTTCCTGTCCAAGAACGTCAAAGACAAGGCCGCCTCAGTACTGTCGCTGCTGTTCACGGAATCGGCGCTCTTCTTCCGCCCGGCGGGCCTTCTTCTCCCGCTCCAGCTTGATCTTGTGGGCCTCTGTTCCGTCGTCCATGAGCGATTCCTTGAACCAAGGGTGTTGCAGAGCCTCCTTGGCCGTGATTCGCTTCTTGGGGTCATACACAAAGATGCGTCGTAATAGATCGAGGAATTGTCTGTTGAAATCGGTGTGGGCAGGGATGGTTTCCTGTATATGTTAGTCGTCATCAAGTCATGCATTGAGGCTGGACGTACGGGGAGCTTCTTCATCGCTTTGACATATTTCTTGGACGCCTTGTTGGTCTCAGCGTTGGGGTAGTCGAGCTTGTAGTTCTTAAAATATCTCGCAGCACTAGTCATGTCAGCAAAGACACTTTCTTAGCCACAGTACATGTGTGTCTACTTACGAGCTTGCCGAATTGCGTGATGATCCACGGTCTTGCTTATAGACAGCTCGCACAATGTCCCGGTCAATCTTGCCACTGCAGACAGCTTCCATCATGGCCAGATGCTCAAGGTTATCGTGCGTCTGGAACAGGGCGTCGCCAGTGAAGAACTCGACCAGGATGCATCCGATACTCCAAATGTCGCAGGGGAAGCTCCAGCCTAGGTTGAGAATAATTTCTGGCGCACGGTAGTGGCGGGTTGACACAACAGACGAGTGGTACTCGTCATTGAAGGTTGCCGATCCAAAGTCGATGAGTCTGATTTCTGGATCAAGAAGGACCTTGCGATGTCGTGCGGTCCTGTTGACCGTGGTAGACGATGACGGCACAGTTCTATTGTACGTGAAAGTCTGGTAGTTGTTATTGACAAGCAAGATGTTTTCTGGCTTCAAGTCCGTGTGGATCAGGTTGAGATCATGTAAGAAGGCGACGCTGGTGAAGAGCTGCTTGGCAAATTTCTGGATGTGAGAGCTGGGAAATGGCACAAAGCCGTTGGACTTGAGAAAGTCAAACACACTTTGGCCATATAGGTCAGTAACAATGCAGATATGGTTTCGGTAGTCGAAGCAATCTCGCAGGTGTATGCATCGATTGATGTTGTGCTTATCGTTAGAAGCCAGTGTGGACAGCACTCGCAGTTCGATACGGCTGGCGTCTCGGTACTTGGGCACGGATCTGATGACTTTGATGGCGCAGTTTGTGCCTTTTCGCCTATCGTAGGCCTGGACAACTTTGCCAAATGTGCCCTGACCGAGCAACTTTGTGATTTGATCTATTGGTCAGGTGTTAGCATCCACAGTAACACATGGCGGTGTGAGAGCAACGTACATCGCTCGGTAAGGTCGGCATCTGGGACTACAATGTAGTGGCCGTCTTCGTCGTCGACCTTCTGGTCTTTGTTGTATGATTTCTGGATCGCGTCAGTATCTGGTGTTTTGAAACAAGAGGCAGGCGTGTATGTGACTTACGTCTTGGATGACCTGGACATAAACATCTTTGGCCTTGATGACTGGGTTGGGCGGTGGCTGGTAGAGGCTAAAAGGGTCGTCATGTTGGTCTAGCTCTCGTCGCTTGGCCTGCTTTGCTTCGTCCTGGACCACGGCGCGTGTGCGCTTCCGTTTCTGGCCTGCGGCCGTGGTGTCGTGGGGCGAGATATTGTGACCGTTGCTGACCTGTGAGCCGAGCGAGGTGGGCGCAGTGGTGTTTAGGGCAGAGGTTGTCCTGTCGGTGGACAGCGAGTGGTTGGGCGAGTCGTAGTAGGGTGTCTGGGTGGTCGAGTACGAGGTGTGCTGGTTGTAGACGGGATCGTAGGCCGTCGACGCGGTTGTTTTGCGCTTCTTGTCTGCATGGCGCGCCGACAAGTTTGCGGTAGCGTGTGCAGCATCTTCATCGTCGTCGTCGTCGTCGATAACAATGACCTCTCTAGGGATGCCGTTCTTGTAAAAGTCGGCCCAGTCCGGGTTCCGGCGTCGATGAGCCGAGCCGGCGTCGGTCGCGCTCATGTCGATCGGGGCTGGGTGAGGGATGGGGGGCAGCTGGGGGGGTTGTCTGTTGTGGGCAGTTGCAGTTGCAGATGCAGCGGTTCGGCGCAGGTCAGAGGTCGAGGAGCCGCTAGCGTAGCCGTTGTAGAGCGAATTGCCTATCCGACCAGAGCCGTTGGCAACCTGGGCATTGGAGATGTTTGGCTGGTAAGCGTGGTGGTGCGAATAAAACTGATGATGGGGCGGGAGTGTGGCCGTGGCGGTGGAGGGCGTAGACATGGTTGGGCCGTCGTCCCGGGGCATTCGAGAAGCGACGTCGTGACGCTGCTTTCGCTCTGCGCAGCCTAGCGGGTCAAGCACGTCGACGAGGCTGCTGGACGGCGCAGGGCAGGCCTGGATGCGAGCAGCGCCAGGCGAGCAGCGGGAGCGAGGATGGCGAGACGGGCGACCAAGAGGCAGCGCAGACGGCGATGCACTCGTGGGCGCGGGCGTGGTGTTGGTGGTGGGTGTGGGTGGGTGTGGGTGCGGGTGCTATAGCGGCAGTCGAGAGCGCTCTCTCTCGCTCAGAGTCTCCGGGGGTGCGGAGAAGAAAGGGCCTTCACGTCGGTTGGGGCGAGTGCGTGAGCCAGAGCGGCGTCAGCTGGGCGGGCTATGATGGGTGTGTTGTGTGGTGGCAGCAGAGGGCGAGGGGCAAGGCACAAAGGCTGTAGTCACACATGCCCGAACAAAAGGCAGAAAAGCGTCGTGGTTGCCAGACGGAGGGCAGCCAAGGTCGAGATGACACTTGCGGAGTCTGTGGTGAGAAGCCGGGCCTGTGCGGTCCACTTGGTCGTCATTCGCTTTCGCGGCACGCCAGCGACCGTCTCTCTTTCGCGTCTCGCGCCACCTTCGAGCCAGGCCAGGACGACGGCCTGGGCAGGTCAGAGTTTGAGCTTGCGACTCTACAGGAATAGCCCGAGGGGGGGAGGGGGCACCCAGTCATCTGCTGCTCTGTTCATCCATTCACGATCCATCCAGGAATCCATCCATTCATCTACATACACATAAACATAATTCCGGCTCCGTCTCCGTCTCGAAACCGTCGCACACGTCCAAATGCCCAGCCCACAGGAGACGGAGAACAAGCCGTGCGGCTCTCTACCCATCTAGAGTACCTTAGCTATCTAATGCCTACCTACTTCCATGCAGCAATTCGGCCCAAAAGACACCGCCTGTCTGCTGCTCCTATGACGCCGCCAGAGTGAAGCGGTATGCGCGCAACATGGTCACGAGAAACAAACGGTCCTGCGCCCATGGAGCATGTCATCTGCTTGTCCAACCAGCCTTACCTTGCAGCCAAGTCGTCTTTTGTTGAGAATAGGCGTCTGCACATAATTCTTTAGGCCCGATCATGTCCCCCACAATCACCCTGGGGAGCAACTTGTCGAATGCGTTCGGCCGTTGTCGTCGTCGTCGTTGTATATATAGTAGTATGTTATATAACTATGTAGCTCCAATATATACACTTTACCATGTGCCCCGATTTGGCTGCTGTCGCTTCCGCTATTATGCCTGAATACGAGCGCGGTCCCTGCCGCAGCTCGACTAACGCTAAAACACCCTTTTCTGACCATGACACATTTCCCTCCTTCTCCTTCTCCTTCTCCTTCTCCTTCTCGCTCTGCTATCCGCTGCTACACACACCCATTGATCCAGGAACGGGACTGCTCCCTCACCACCACATGTGCCTGAGTATAGGCTGAGGTGAGACCTGCTGCAGCATGCCCCATCCGTGTCGCTTGGCTCAGCCATTACTCAGCCCACCCACTGCTCGCCTCACGGTTGCTGCACTCCACTCTGCTACTGCACCCAATAACGTCATCGTCCAACGTCTATCCTTCGCCCTCCACCACTGCGCTTCTGCTCCCACTCCCAAAGCCCGTCCAAGCTCCCGGCTCAATAGCCCATGGCCCTCTATCCTGTCAATCCACTACCTGTCAGCCGCCTTGACGCGCCCTCTTATGCGCCTCCTTGTTGTGTCCTAGCGCTGGTATAACCGCCAAGGCTGAGTCGTGGGTGACTTTCTGCAATCATGGTGGCGGCGCAATTGCCTCTCGGCACGTGCCAGACACATCACCCATTGGTGGATATCAAGCCCGACCATCGCTTGCATTGCCCCAGTCTACTACTTTCAAAAGCCGTGCACTCCACTTCGCATTGCTTCCTATGCCAAAGCCGATCAATCTCTTGGCTATCTACCCGTGTCCAAATTGATAACAAGACATACTCAGACAAAAAAAAAGTCAACAAATGAGCGTGCCGACAGATCCCTGACTCGCAAAAGGACAGTTTATCCTCCTCCACGTCCTAGAGTACGGTACGATACAGTGCGCTCTCAATCCATAGTCAGACAGCCTCCATTCGAGATACCATGTTCAAACAGCCGATCCCATGCAAATTTTTTCTGGCAACTGCCCGTCCATCATTCCAAACCAGATACTGGCTATAGCAGCCGCCATGAAAAAGACATGAAGAAAATTCGTGCATCATCATTCGTAGTGACACAACCAAATATACACCGCTCGACCATAGCAACAGTCGACGCCGACACAAGTAGTCTGCACGACTACAACTTGGGCGGGCTGTTGATGTCTTCGAAGAAATCAAAAATCAGCTTGCTCACGCTCTCAACAATTGTGTCGACATCGCTGTCCGTAATGTTGAAGGGTGGGGCAATAATGATGTGGTCTCCGCGCTCGCCATCAACGGTGCCGGACCCTGGGTAAACGTAGACATTGTATCCATCTCTCAGCCCTGTACACACAAATCAGCATTCCACAATGTCCCAATGGCAACTCAGGGCAAACCTACCTTGCTCGTGAATTCTCCACGCTATGGCTGCCTCCGAGTCAAATGGCGTCTTGCTCTTTTTGTCTCGTACAAATTCAATCTGCCACACTCAGCTCAGCTTCGCCACGACTTGAACATTTTGCCAAACTTACTCCTCGGAATAGACCTGCACCGCGTATGTTTCCGACGTTAGGATGATCACCAAGACGCGCCACCAACTTTTTCATTAGCTTGTCCCCTTTATCCTTGACATTCTCCACAAGATGGTCTTGGTGCACAATCTTCTGCACCGCCAGACCGGCGGCGCATGCCGCTGGGAAGTTCTGGAATGTGTGTCCATGAGCAAAACAGCTAACCCCAAGGGTTTCAACAATATCTGCACTAACGAGCAGTGCCGAAACTGCTGCATAGCCCCCCGCAAGTGCTTTGCCCACTAACTGAATATCTGGAACCACCCCCTCCTCTTGCCACGCGTGCAGGTAGCCCGTACGTCCCATGCCACACATGACTTCGTCCAGGATGAAGAGTATATTGTACTTTTTGCACACCTTCTTCATGGCCGTCAGGTAGCCAGGCAATGCGGGAACGCAACCAAGTGCCTGCGTAACAATGTCAGTCATCAGAGCCGCCATAACAGGTATCCAACCCCCAGTGCACGACTCACCGCACCCACAACTGGCTCCATAAAAAAGCCCGCCACTGTGCCCGCACCAAGCTCACAAATCTTGTTCTCGAGCTCTTCTGCCAGTCGCTTAACATACTCATCTGCCGTCTCCCCATCCTTCATATCTCGATACGGGTTGCATGGAGAGACAAACTGCGTGTTGTCAGGCAGAATCTGCTTGTACATGCCTTTCCGTCCCTTGTGCCCACTGACTTCAAGAGCACCCAGCGTCGCTCCGTGATATGATCGATCACGAGCAATAAACCACCGTCGGCCAGGCTGGCCCTTTTGCTTCAACTTGGAATGGTATTGATATGCCAGCTTCTTCGCTGCCTCGGTAGCCTCAGAACCTGCCTCGTGTGAGCTTGTTGGTTCTAATGTCCATCCAACTCACATTACCTGAACTGTAAAAGGCCACCTCAGCCATCTCGTCACCTGTCGATTCGACAAGGTAGTCTGCAAACTCCCACGCTGCCTCTGTGTCAAAACTCATAGAAGCTGCGTACGCGACTCCTGTTTCTTCTTGTCTCTTGATTGCCTCATGAACTCTCCTGTCGCCATGGCCAATATTGGACACTCCAGCCCCACCAGAAGCATCAAACAACTTCCAGGTCTTGGTGCCATCGGTGACTGATAGCCAGCTTCCTTTCGCACTCGTGAGCCAGAGTGGGACACTTCTCACACTGCGTTTAAGAAGTGGACTCCGGCGATTCTGACGATTCCACGAAGCCGCCATTACTGGGGTGCAATTGTCTGTCGATGGTGAAGCGCTGGTAACAGACACTGTGCAGGGACTGCTGCTTTCATCGAGCAACAGGGCTGGCGCCATGATATAGATATGTTTCTGACAAAGAGTTGAGTGGATTGACACAATGAATCAAAAGCGGAACTAACGAATCTTGAGAACAGGAGCGGGTTACCTTGAACTTTATACCACCGAGGCTATTCATGGAACCACAATGCGACATGACCGGTAAAGCTTCTTTTGGAAGCAGAAAGTCCACCACGTAATCAGGGCCCAGGTCACTAGGACCATAGTTTGCACAGTCGGCAACCCGAATCCAGTTTGATATTCCGAGCCGCACGGGAAGACTAGAGTCTGGGCACTTTTCCCCGATAAATGGCTTTGGCTTATGACTAGCTGAAAAGTTGAAAGAAGCTTGCGCATGCGATGCGCTGTGAAAGTCACGGGCTTATTCATTCTCGCGGAAACTCAACGGTCAATTGCTTACCAGAGGTATACCCGGTCGGCCAATCACCTCTGGCTGTGGCACTCTTGCATACAGCATGTGGTTTCCAACGTTATCAAATGACAGTCAGCCCTGTGCCATGGACAATTTGTGTGTAAGATCAGAGTAGGGCGGCACAGTTGCAGCCATGCCAGGGCAAAGCGCCGGACGCCCCGAGGACAGGCACAATGACTGCACACATAGCGGAACCTGTGGCCATGGGTTATGCCCTGCTGCCAGGGTAGCCACAGAGGTATGTGGGAGAATGCAGCACCTGAACCAAGCAAAAGTAGCCTCGCGTTAGTTGGACCCAAATGCACGCGATAATGCGCTGTTGCCACATGGTTATGTGGGGATTTCAAGAGACCCCTGTGTGGTAGGGTGGGCAAGGTTGCTGCTGCAACATCCGCATGCGTCTAGTAGGTACCAGGGCGATCGGATCGGAATTAACCGTTTATCTTGTGTAACGAGGCTAGAAGGGAACATGTCAACACAGTCAGCTTGAAATGGTTGCCAAAAAAAGGCAAACAAGCATTGCCAATTGACAAGAGTGCTTCGTCATTGCAGACGACCAGAAGCAGAGGTACTCCAAAATAGCCAAAGGCAAGGCAAGCCTGGTGCATGCCGCTGCAGGCGCCTCCACAGGGGGCTGACCGGTGTCATGGACGGCTAGCGGCCTTGCGAACGCCTGGTGAGTTGACGTGACTCTGTGCGATGGCCAGACTGGAAGTTCTGGTAGGAGTGAATAACCGCAAGATGACACGAAGACACTAAAACGAAGCATTCGACGATATCTTGGATGCGGAGGCTGACCGTCGGTCAATGATTCGATGGAGCCATGCCAGGTGACGCCAACGCGTCTATACTCGTACGGCCATAGTTGACCTGAAATAGTCGGACTCTACTCAGCCTGGAAGGTCCACGAGGAGCCGGGTGTACGGAGACTGGCTGCCATGACCTGCCAATCCGTGACACCAACATGACATGACGGCACGAGACGGCGGGAAAAAAGCAAGTCTGCAGACGCCAGGGTTCGAGTTTGGGACAGCGATTGGGAGGGGGCTCTTGCAGCAGAGCGTCCGCTAGTAAGTGAAGCGAAGGCGGCTTGGGGGTGGCGGCGAGGGCCACAGTCGTCAGGCCTTGCTATATTGGCAGGCAATTAATCGTGGCCACGACCCTGCAGCGACGGCTTGGGCTTTTGCAAGCGCCAACATGCGGTGAAGGGCAAAAAAAATCACTAGGCCCGTCAGTGTTGACCGAGAGGTGCTAGAGGATTGGAGTTATCAACCAAGGGCCTGAGACGGAGATGGAGCAGGCCATCACCCGGGCCGTAGCGTATAGAGGAACGAGAAGCCGACCCGGACCGGCAGTGCTTCGTTCGCCGCCAAGCCCGTCCCTCTAGCTTCCCCACATTCGTCCAACCGCCGCCGTGGCCGACATTCACCACCTTTGGTTGCCCATTGCAGTCGACGGGCTTACGTCAGGTGAGTGAGGCCGACGGCAACATGCTGTAGACGACGTACGATGTACGCATCCACACGACCTCTGACCCATGTACAGCGTCCACCGGAAAAGCACTGCCACCAGGCCCGACAAGATGAATCCCCGCGTCGAAGAGGTCAGCGACTCGGACAGCGAGCCGTCCGAGATGGACATTGACGACGTGCCCTATCTGATGAATGCGAGCAATGCGCCCAGCACTGGCAACACAACCATGATGCCGCCAGCCATGGCTTCGCAGATGCTGCAGCCACAATCACCCTCGATCAAGACGACCACGGACCGCGAAAAGTCAAAACACTACCAATGCCTGTACCCCATATACTTTGATATATCACGAAGTAGGGCAGAGGGCCGCCGTGTGGGCAAGGAGCTGGCTGTGGAAAACCCTCTTGCCCGGGAAATGGCAGACGCGGCAGCAGACCTTGGCCTGAGGACAGTCTTCGAGCCTGACAAGACCCACCCCAAGGACTGGAGCAACCCTGGTAGAGTGCGCGTCCTTCTCAAGCACGAGGGCAAGAACATGCACCAGCAGGTGAAAAACAAGCATCACCTCTATATTCTCATCTCGCAAGCCCTCAAGGCGAACCCAACACAGAAGAACACTCCCTTCCGACTGCCAATTGCAGGCCTACCCATGCCTAAGGAGATGCCAGAGCCAGCGATACCCAAGGGCTGGAAGATGAACAAGATTCTCCCCTTGCACTCTCCAGCCCTAACAGGAGGCGGTGTCAGCGAGAACTTTTTGCAGGACATGATGGCCGAGATGACAGGCGAGGCAGGTGGCAGCGGGGCAAGTAGCGGGGCAGAGTCCAAAAAAAAGATAAAGGACAAAAAGAAAAAGTGAGAGACTAGCAGTGGAGGAGGTTGTCGCTCGCCCATTGCCGTGTCCATACCACTCCCAGGGAGCAGAAGACCAGTAAACTTTCTACGTCGTTGCTGCAGTCGTGCAGTCTCAAGGCTACCAGATCATGAGATAGGTACCTTGACGCACGTCTAGACAGGGTGCACAGCAGCACTTGCTAAAACCTGGTATTGTGGCGTCTGCAGAAAATCAATACCTACACTACTGCACTAATACCGCGCTCTACGTTGAGTGAGACCATGACTTTGATCGACAGGACCAGACAGTCGCTCATGTCGGCTACTGGGCTTGGGCTTGATCCCTCCCGTCTGTATGCATGCATTCCCTGTCACGTGGGCGCCAGGTGTAGTGAGCCATAGCCCCGCAACCTCAACATCCAAGCTCAACCTCCAGTCCCGAACAGTCTGTCCGCGGGCCGATCGTCACAATTTCGGGCTAAAGTTGACATGCATGCACCCCTGCTGACCATGCAGCATCATTTCTGAACAACAATATCTCTTATTCGTCCACACTCGAATCATTTTCCGTATATCACACGTCGATTTAGTAATTGTTCTTATTGAACCGGTCAAACAAGAGCCAATGCATGAAGAGTCAAATTGGGATTTGTTGACTTCGGAAGTATACTGCGTCTGCTTCAATACGAGTGATTGCGGCCTGGACCTTTACGATATTCTCACCTATGACCACCAAGCCGGGATAGACCTAAGTATTACCCATAGACTGTGGTTCTGAGCCGTACCCCTTCAATTTTTGTCATCGGCTTTCTCCGAATATTCAACATGTTCGCCCTATTCGCATCCTAAAAACGTTCGACGCATGCTGTCTTCCTTCTGATCACCCGTCACAACATACATTACATGTTGGATTCACAAAAATCACGTGAAAGAGAAACTCTTTGTATCATGTCCACAGTGGTATCCAACAAGGTATTTCTTTCCCGACTGCTTAAGTGCCTAGTGCTTATACTCTATGCTCCTTCCTCTATGGTCAAGTTGTCAGGCCCTGCCCAGACTCTAGCTACGAACTGCGTTCCATGCTGCTAGCATCAGACATGCCGTACTTCGTCTGCCTATTCTAGCTATTTGTCTATATGTTCGGCTGTTGGGAATGCTGTGTCACACTGATTGTCCAGTCAACTTCTTGATACCGTAAGCATGCTCGGGTATTGCAATATCAACAGTATGCGGATAAACTCTCTGACATTCAATGTCATGCTGTGGAGTGATCGAGGGGCAACTGCCATGCCCTTGACTACCGATCATTACGACGACTATGAATTTGATTGGTATACGCGGAACCAACATGTATCCTTGTCAATCGCGTACGTATCGCACGACTCCAACCAAGACTTCGGCTCAGCTTCATTAAGAATGTGCCGATTCCCTTACGCAAACACCATCCGATAATCCAAACAAGGGTCCAAGTACCCTTGCGTCACCTTGCGCAGTGAGGATCGAACGTATGCCGGCGTAGCCTATTGAGCCGAGACCCTTGCGCTAGCAAGTACCAGTAGGCCCATTACCACTTTTGGCTAGACCGGATGCTCCATGCAGGATGAACACAAGACGGTTAGGCAGAATGCATTGTCCCTCACATGCACGCAAAACCTCTGCATGCACCAAAAATGTGTGCTGTTATTTCCACTCCACGAGAGAAATATGACCCATCACATGATTGCCATTCAGTGTTCATTGGGAGAAGCAAGTCTATCGGACCGACTTGGGATGCAAAAGCAGGTCTATTCTACGGACTTCGTATTGGCAAGCAGGCATTGCTCGAAAACCTGCAGATCTGGACCGGTATTGGGTGAATCAACAAGTAGTGTCTAGGCAAGCTTGTTTCAAAATTAGGAGGGTGCTATTCTGCTGCAATTGCGCTTTCGGGGTTCCGCCGTATCTTACTCAACACAGCAGAGTTGGGGAATTTGATTCCTACGGATCGACGGAGGTGTGACAACCCAGGTAAAAGCGAATTCTTTCAACTGGGATACTCGTCGACGATACTTGTCCACCTCTCTTGGTATCCACTTGTGCGTGCCCTGATTACTTGCAGGAGATAGCGAGGTCATTTCATTCGTCCTTCGGTTACTGAGGGGGGGTGAGTGAATAGATACATTGGGGGCCCAAGACTATCCCTTCCTCTATCCCAGTCTCTTTCATCTCTCAGTCTTCTAGTCTTTTGGAGCGGTGTATTAGTCACAATACCCACTCTAAAGCCCAGGAACAGCAACACCATAAGAGGATGGAAATACATGTCAACACTGTAGGTTTGCATGGAAACGGCAATCCCAATAGAAGCCAAG